CTCAAAAAACGGAGAAAACGACGATTTCCTCGTTGGTTTCAATCTACAAGGACTAGAGTTGTGCCAGCCGCCGCCGCCGCCGCTGCATTGTTGTCAGATCGAGGGAGAGAGACACAGGCAATACGGAGTCTAGAACGGCAGAAGGATACCAGCAGGAACGGCAGCAGAAAGTCGCTAGCAGCTGACAACGAAGAGCGTCTGACTAAACGCGACAGGCTAAGAAACACGTGGGGACATGGAGAGAACGATTCGGCACAGGAGAGCGCGTATAGTGTCGAATAGACGACTTGATTCGGGTATCCCTACACTAAAACAAAATGCTAAAAAAATCTGGATCTATCAACGAAAAACGTTACTAGAAAATTTTACCGCTCCTAAATGGATGTGATCAACGCTTCAGCGGTAACTGGGTACCGTCTACGCTTCTTTCGCCTTGGATCGATCTAAATATACAGGTGGATGACACGCTCACTTGGCTATGTCATATAATTATGCGCAATACACAAATTACTCTAACTATAGTATGTAGTAGTAACTATAGTAGTTCGCTAAGTGTGTAATAAAACTTGTGGATTTCTGCAACGGGATAACTGGCTGGCTGACTGACCCAACACTAGCGATTTCCTGGAAAAACTTGAGACGTTTAAAATTAAGGTCGACATACGAATTACATTAGCACGTTTATAACGTACTGATCGGCGACGAAAATATAGGCCAATTTTATACACAAACGTTTCGATACTTGATAAATTTTATAATTGAATACTTGTTTTTCTATGACTGGCCAGACTGATGTTATATTGTCTCTATTTAATCAAACGAAAACGATACGGACACTGGGAAATTGGTACCCTGCGTAAATCATCCAGCAGGTCTCTCGGCAATAGAGTAAATGCATCAATCGATTTTCTAAGTCTAGCTCTGACGAATTTCGACCCTACCCTAACTATCAATAATGGACAGACTCGTTCTACAGTTCGTGTGCTTTTTCCACAGGCAGGGTCATCACGCTAGGCAAGTGGAGACCACGGGCTGTTTCGGCTTGTATCTGGAGCTCAGCAAGAAAAACTCGCGAGATCTTCTTTCGGAGTCTATCCAGAATCGGTAATTCAATTGACCATCTCTGCATGCACGCGGGAAGCTTCGTCAAGAGATCTCGACGTGGTCACTCTTCACCGTTTTCGTTTATTTCAAGTCGAGAATATAACGTACATATAACAATAGGAGGAATATTGTGTGCGACGTTTAATGCAATGATAGGGACGATAGCAAAATTTCTTCACACGAAATCATAGCTCTAGGTCAAAACAGTATTTTGTTTGCTTGGACGTCCTTCCGTTGGCCGCTGATGTGACTTATGTTGATACTTATCCTACGTTACCCCTTCGGTCAGCAAAAAGAGCAAATTCTATTAGGAACACTTTTAAGGGTTTGGAGGACGAATGTACTCGGGCCCCCTTTGTAGGGCGAATGGAGGGATTACCACATAACCCTTAGCTTCAATGAAAGAAACGCAGTGAGGCTTGAAAGGGCAGAATTAAATTCACGTTTCACATGGTGTACACCGCATGACTTGGCCATTTTCAAAGGCTTCACTGTGGAAGAATCGCATACTACATTGATGTGACTTAATAAATGAAATTGTTGAGTTACACTCAAAATACAGATTCATACGATTAGGTTCACCGAAAAACGAATATTTTTGCCTTCTGTCACAGTAACCGAAAATCATAAATAAATTCACTGATATAAGCACTGCATGTGTATACTAAGACGCGCATTGGACATAGAGATACCATATATTGACCGGTCACCCATCAATCGCAGTTCGAAGCTGACAGTTTAATAATGAGTACGACTTGTCTGTCTGAGAACCGCCACCCTCCTACATTCAGTCCAAAAGCAAATACGACCCCCCTCTCTCTCTCCCTCTCTATATATATATATATATATATATATATATATATATATATATATATATATATATCAAACTACTTCGCATTGGCTGTCTGCGAAGTCGATTCCCTCTGTTGTCGAAATATCTCAATCAGTGAGACTGGCCAGAGTTACGACATCGCTATAAAACTGTTCACTACGCCTACCTTTTTCTTGCTTTCCCGCATCCTCCTTTTCAGGCTCTTCGCGTCGTATCTGTCGTTCTTTAATCTTTTCTCGTTCTCGTGGCCTAACGCAGGCCGTATCCTCGGCCAGAATTACTACTCTGGCTATCTTTGACGCTCCACGCGCGACCGAAGGGTATGCATGCCGAGAGGGGGTAACGTTTCCTGTCTTCGAATACTGCCAAAGCAGTTTCGCGGTGGAAATGAACCTAGCTGATAAAGATTTCTCAATCCGCACTACAGTTCTATTGTCATGTAACTAACTAAGTAACTAGCTCGATCATTACCGTCCCCTTCACTGCATCCAGCTTTACGAAACATCCCTGCAGAGTAGATCTTATAATAATAGCAGTATTCTATTAATGTACGCGTCCTTATCAGCTAATCAGACCGCTAGGTAACTTTATGGTATTAGTGATAATAAAGCGAACTTACCAACGTGCTATTTCACTACCTACGCATAGGTATGATGGTTGACGATTTTTAGAATTTTCGATCATCGTCGTTTAAGAAACCCTTAAAAAGCGCTCGGGCGCAAAGACGTGTATGGAGGTCAGACGTTGGCAGACGCGTACGACGTTGACAATATTTACATTGTTACTTCTTCTATGTGATGTAGCGTTGTTTGCTAATCGTCTGGATAGAGATAGATTGTTCTTTTCGGATGACGCCATAGGAATGAGTTGAGTGTGCGAGGGTGGACCTTGCTTTGCTAATGTTTTTATGGGCTGCGATTGTATACTTTGAGTGATTTAGCTGATGGAGCTCTAGCAATCGCGGGTCTAATTTCAACGGTCATCGCAGGTCCAACTGCAATACGGGGGTTCGTCAGCCGATCTGGTGTGGTTTAGACCAGGGCGAACCGGACCGTGCGTTTTGCTTCTTCACACCAATCCGATAATGGCGAAGTTCGTTTCAGGCCAGCCCCAGACGTACAGACACCCAGACAGACAAAACCCACAGAGGAACACTCTGTTGTATCTGCACTCTACCGTACTCTACCCAAACCATTGATAGACTTCACTTCCTAGAACCATTCATCATATCGTATGTGCGATACGCGATACACTCATTCACTCGTAATCAGGTCCATTGAGAACGTGAGGTCAGCTGCTGTTGTGGCGACGATCTCATATTGAAGTTCACTGAGGTCACCAGTCGGAGTTCGAGAAGGGAGAGTTTCGTCCGCTTTGCACTCATTCATATAATCAAAGCCGCAGTCGCTGCTGCCCGCACAAACGTTGATCAGGGCGTTACCGAACTCTTAAGAGGAAAGGCTAGTTCATAGCGGAGTCGCATCATTTATCTAAGGTACGTATCGTAACCTCTATGTAATACGGTATAAAAAAGAAACTGCGCAAGATTTAATAAATTAAAAGAAAGAGTTTATCACTTGCGGTTGATGAGTCGATTTATACCTAAGGATTGAGGAATGAGGTCACAGTTACAGAATCTTTATTGATTGGCTACTATTTTTCATTTCTTGTTACGTGCTTCACCGTTTCGATCTTAGGTAAAAAAAGGCTTCAAGTTAGGTCAAATACAGGTCTACAGTTCAGAAATTAAATACTTCCACTAGGAAAAGAAAGCTGGTCCACTGTTGATACATATACTGCTCAAACTCTAGGATTTTCATAGCTGTTAGCTAATTCTTTTTTATGCTCCTACAAATCTATGTTTGCCTCTTCCTTATTAAGCTTTGTCAGCTGCTAGCAGATATTTTCTGTATGATAGCCAGAACATTTTATAGGGCATAGGTTAGAGACGTTTGGTACGACAGGAGTCCACCGACCTAGCAATTTTAGAGTGCTATACCGCTATAATGTGAAAATGAATTGAAAACAATTAACTCCGATACAATTATACGTTATTCTCTCAAATTACTACCATAAGTTTATCTTATAATAGGACCAACGTATATTCTATGCACTGTACCTAAAAAATAACACTTCCTTGATTTAGGCTTTTCATTTATTTGTCAGTATGCGCCTTTAAGGACACACGTTCGTAAAGTATCCATCTATATTTTAATAAACCTACAAGAAATGAACGTTTTCCTCGGTCTACGTTTTCACAATATATATATATATAATTTATAGGTGTGTGTATATATACAATAGAAGCATTTTCTCTAATAGTTGTTATCACAGTTGGATTATATAGTCTGAGATAGGGGCACGGTCGTTACACGTTAAGTAGATTACCAATAATGATACTTTAAGTAAAACAGGGGAGACGACTGCCTCTTCATTAATTTGTAGCGTCAGACTTGTATGGTCTACATATACAGAGTTGTAGTTTGCCACGAACAGAAGTAGTAATATGTCAGGGCTCTGAAACAATACATATGCTCTAGCCAACGATGAAACTCACGGGTTTGTTATTAATTAAATAAGTACTTAAGGGATGACTCGTAGTAAATCAAGTAAGACTCAATGAGTGTTTTGTTTTTGCTAGCGGCAAAGGCTATTTGCGACACATTCGATAGTGGCAATTCTACGAGGAACATTCTACAGGATATGGTATTGACGAGTCTAAGTTCGCTTAGAATTGTAGGTCTGTGACTTGTCAGGATCTCGACGATACTCATGATCATCATAGAGTGCCTGGAAAGAGAAAGCAAAGAGACTCGGTTATATATTGAAGATATATGTTTATGTCAGCTCACACCTTCTGAATAGTCAGAACTCTAGTAAGAAACTCAACAAATAACAGATGGTATACAAAATATTGAATAAATACAGTTTAGAGAATAGACAATGAAGATTTGCTTAGGAAAGGCATTTCTTAGAAATTGGTAAAATAATTCCGATAGCAGTAATTTGCAAAGACTCAATCAGAAATGTTAGCTAACAGAGAGAATCTTGAGTTTTAGAGCTTTTACAACGCGATAAGCCAGTTCTTACATTGATAGTCATTGAAGTTCAGATGGCTGAGCGATTGACCGGGGTGCGTCTGAAGCGCCGCGGTGAGTTGGCTATAACTTCGGTCATAGAGGACGTGATCCTCGTTGCAAACGGCGTTCGGCAATAGCACTGGCGCCGTCGAATTGGCATTAAAATCGAACGATATTCCCGTCGGAACTTCTGGGGTGATACACTCAAAGAGTTCTTGCTTCACAACGACAGACTCAGTAGAGGCATTCAACGGAGGCATTCTTAGGCGGTCAGCAAGAATCGTCGTGCCCGTTGAAAGGTTGTCCACAGATAAAACAGGACTTGCTGGCAAAGAACAGGTTGTTTGAAGGGAGAAAATTTCAGCATGTGCTGGTGGGGTGCTTGCCGGTGGTGAGGGCGGTAACGGGGAGGATGTGTTCGAGCTGGGTGAGCTAAACGGGTCTCCAGAGGGGTACTCGAAGCTCAACGTTTGTGAGGGTTGAGTAGGCGAACTAGGTGTTATCGGCATCTGATAGTCGAAGTTAGTCGAAATATTGCCTTGATCGTAGGGCTCGTTGTCGTCAGCCGCGCATAACACTTTATCCTCTTGAGATAAGCCTAGAATGGTCTGCAGCTCACGGATGTATTCAACGGCACAACGTAAAGTCTCCACCTTCGACATTTTCTTATTAGCGTTTTTGTAACCTTGCACATGATGGCGAAGGGTATCGAAAGTTCGATTAACATGTTGCACTCTCCGGCGTTCACGCTCGTTTCGTCTTGCAACAGATAACTTGTATTTAGTGCTGTCACACATCTTGCCGATGGTAGCGACTCCTGAACCGTCTGGCTCAATTTTCGATAATGAGGTGGCCTAGCAGGTAAAGTAACAATATAGATTAGTAACTTGTTTTTTTTTTGACTCTTTGCCGAGATAGGAAAATTGCGCCAACGATGTTGAATTGAGTTAACCTTATTATTAGGTCTTATTGTTAATCCAATGAGTAACATTTGAAGGACTACTATCATAGTTCTTATCTTCGTATCTCATTGTAAATACCGTTTTGTTATGTCTATACTTTTCTAGATTCGTGGCTTTGAGCTACTTCACATCAATCACTGAAAATGTAAGTTGAAATATGTTGAGTTTTGCTGCGTTGGGAGTTCCAAAAGTTCGTCGACTAAGCTATGTAACTAATCAAGTAAAGATCATGCACCTTTTCCATCCATATATATAACGTAGATATTCTTACCAACTGTACAGGAAGTTTGTTAAGGACTTGCGCAGGCTGAACAGTGAGTTTAGCAATTTTTGAATCCCGAACGCTGCTAGGACCGGAATTAAGAAGGACTCGCGTAATGGGCATGTCCAGCTCCATGATCTCTCACGAAAGCCAATGGCCTCGAATAACTATGGGCAGTGTTCGTATATTTAACGCTAAGGACAAAGCTGTAGTTAGCTGTTAGAAGGGAACTATTGTCGTTCCTATTTCAGCGAACGAAGCAACACTTCTCGGCGTCAGATGATAGGTGTACTGAAGGTCCATGAGTCGGGCAAACCAGTTTTGAACCCCTTGCTGGGAAAGGGCAGATTAGGTTCGGGCTCTGGAGAGGAGGTTATAAACCAGGGGTTGTATCTACAAGTGGAACCTAGACCGATCTCATTTTAGTTGTTCGCTGGAGTTGTCTATTGAACTTTATCTCAACTGAACGGACGGCTGCGGGAGTTTAACCAGTATTCTGTTGCTACGCCATTGCCTAAGGGGTTTCAAACACAAAAGGCCAAACTTCTCCTATAATGTTCGAATCCTCTTTTGTTTGCTTAAGTGCAGTAAAATCTAGTCATTAAGCGAGTGAAAAAACCAGCATTATCGGCTGTCATAGCGGCAAGATATGGATCATGTCATACATTTTCGTGGCATAAATGAAGTTACCTGTTAGATCTTTTCACACGCATGTTCCTCTTTGCCTTTTAAATGCTTAACATTTCCAACAACTTTAGAACTTTATATTTTACATACTAACTTACAAGCTACATTAGGATTGCCCTTAGCATTGAATTAATATTCCGTTGCATCAGTAAAACAGGCTTGTTTTTTTTTATTCTTAACATAGGTGTTCATCGAAACGAGTGACAATGTCGTACACTAAGTTCTTTTCGACGGGACCGTTTCATGTGTGCCAATACAGCAATTAAGGTCATCAACAACTATCTCACTGTCCGTCCTACTTATTAATATTGGCCTTTTATTAAGAGCAAGTCGACTTAACCTGTAGTAAATTGCATTGTTAATAGCCTTAGCTAGTAAATATCTAGTGGAGTGGTCTCTGTTCGAGCTCGCTATGTATTGATTCTATAAAACTTCTATCGACCGATCTTATTGCTTTTTCATTGGCTACCAGTATGATTAGCGGATGCGTCTATCATATGAGTTGCTTATTTGTCCGACAATTATGTGCCGAAAAATAAATGTTAGAAGACCATTTGAAAACTTCTCGTTTTTGCCATCAGTCGAAAATTTGTACATACCGCTCACATACATACACATACACAAGGGCCAGTATATCGTACGTAATCACCGCGCGGATTCATATAAACTACAGGCCTTAACGCGTAGGGTGGTCCGGTAAGTCGCCGATAGCAATCTCTGAACTACATGATCATATCAACCTGCTCCGATCGGTTCCGTCTCGGTAACTTTTGCTTTTTCGATTGACTAATATCAATCGCTTGGCTACCTCGTGACGAAAACAGAGACGAGCACACATTTTTTTTTACCTAAGAAACTCACGAAAAAACCCAATTTACATATCTGGACAAAAGCGATGTGATCAACACTTCAACATGCATATTGGCTTCAACTACATACGAAGTCAGATGATTTCCTGCATCTTTTGTCTTTCAATAGCCATATAATATACGGTGGTCTCCTTACGGTGCGCCGCTGAATTCGCATAACAAACTGCAATAGAATAGATGTATGAACTTACGAAAAGGCATCTTGAAGTTGTATGTTTAGCAAAGATACACGCGTGTGTGCCTTTTGAATAGAAAAACATCGACAACTGCCTAAAACCTAGAAAGTCATATTTGCTTTTTCCAGTGTTTGAATCTACTGATAATCCAGCTCATTATCGACTTATAGCTAGGGATGGGTTTTCCTTCGTTTACATCCAATACCGATACGTTTCACCTTCCGAAAGACATTTCTAATCGGACCGCTTTGAAGTCATCCGCGGGACGACAATCTTGATTTCACATACAGTCTTCCTTGTCGTGGTGAAAAAAGCATTCGCTGAAGTACAACAGGTATCTCCACAAAAGTTTATCGAAGTAGGTAAGCTATTGTATCTTTTCACTCACTGTTACCCTAAGTAGAACGCCAGATATTGCCTTATGTCACAAAACTTTTGACGGACTTCGCTGGAGGCGATCGCATCGAAGTTAGATTTCGGGCCGGTCACATGTACGGTAACTTGTCCGTTCAGGCGACTGCCATTGATGTCAAATCCATCTCCTCCATACTTTACGATATACCTATCCTTCAGAACTTAGGTTACTTTTTTTTTTTTACAGGACACGAATCTGCCCGATTCGGAGATGTCGTCCTGCAGCACATAGACACACCGGTAAGGTGTATCCATATGGCACTCTATCGCAAGCTCCGATCTTCTGCGTAACAATTGCTTGTTGAACGGCGGTGCGGCCAAACTTTTTTTTCGAATACTGACGCCCTAGAAGTCGCGATCGTATCCTGGCACACACACTATTGGCCTTTTCGATGATTAGATCTGAGTCCGCCCAAATCTTTCCGACGTTTTTAGCTTCGTGCAACGAGAAATCGATCGAAAGAACTTCGTTATGGTGTGGCATTCGCATAACTGGCAGTCATGGCGGCAACGACGGCCAGGTTCGGTGATGACAAAACCAGTCATTTTGTCAGTGACTGCTGAGATACAGTGATGGACTATGGCGGTAAACGATGCCGCAGGACAAAACATTCTATTATTGGCAAAATAACATAAAGTCCCAAGATCCGAGTCAGGTTGATCAGCTCTAAGCAGAAAGCCTATAGTGTGCATTATGGTAGCACGCAATACTCCAATATGATATGGACAAATCAATACAGCGAGCGGCAAATCAACGAACAGCCATAACTAAGAAGAGTGGCAGTTGTGAACGAACGACGTCGCGGCTCTAAGGGTATAGGTAGTCATAAGGCACCCACGGACTTCTCGGAGCTCAGCGTAGCTCCCGTCATCCCGTGTCAAGAAAATCTGGATCACCTGAGCAACTGACCGCCATAGCAAAAGAGTCATCAGTAAATTGCGGTATTTGTCTCCACTATGAGCGATCGACGATGTCGGGCTGAATCATAGTCACTCAGGTCGGTGATAGTTTCATGTTGAAGGAGCTGAACAGGAACGAAACTCTCCCGCAGCGTAGCAGGTTCCCGGGGGACACGACGGAGAAATTGATGAGACAAAGAAAGGTAACTGTTATTGTTGTTAATAACATTATAACTGATATAGAACAACAACAAACGTAAAATGTATGTTATGTTTAAATTGTAATATCTTGATTAAAAGAAGCGAATTCGACAATATCTATTATTATATTCGTCCACACCCAACCGAGCAGTAGTAATTAAACTGGTGAAGTGCCATCTCTTCGCCAGTTACTGCGCCTCATGGTGACGGCATTAGGTGTATGTAGGATGACGTAGAACTTATTTTTTTTCGGGTAATTAGCTATACGAAGTCTATTGGGATGGCTGCGTGCATGTTGAATGACCGGCGTACGTGAAGTCCATCTATATGTCACTTAAAGCTCATTTTCTGCGAATTTCCTTCAGTTCACGTCCGTGTAGGAGGAACTGACTTTATAATCGGCTATCGATGAGAAGCAATGAGGCTCGCTTATCAGAGACGATAGTAACCTGCTACGAGATCAGAAGTGGTTAGTTGAAGTCGTAATACGAAAAGCGAGATAATGAGATGTCGAAGAAATCTCGTAAATTTTTCCGCGAGCAGACCCCACTTTCCGAATGTCCTAAGTATGTGAAAATCTCTCCTTTGCATGACCTTCGCACCGTCCATTCAATGGCCATTCAATGTATAAATGAAGGGTACCTCTTCAGTATGACTCACTGTTTGTTGGGATTCTCTAATTAACGACGCTAGTGGTGGTAATTTGACGACGTCAGAGCTTCAGGCTGTAAAACCTAGAAGACGCGGGTTTGGGATCATCTGCCCCGTGAATACATACATATTCATGGTCTAAGTTTTGCGGCTTGCACAAAAAAAAAAACCAAACAGCTGGACCGGTGTACTGGGTAGCGGGGCTGCTAGGAAATATCTACTACTTATTAATACTCTCTTATTTGCGCCGTGTATGTGCAAAATATCTACCATTATTATCTTTGTTCCAATTAAGCTAAGGTTGTCTATTAGGCAAGCAGCAAGCAAAGTCTGGTTATCTTCCAAAGTATTCATTGTTAATGTTACGCTCTTCCATAACGGCCTCATAGACCTCCGTAATGATAGCAACAATATTAACGATATTAATTGGCTTAAGGAGGAACCTACCTAATAGCTGCAAACATACAAAGTTACTGATGGACTGAAAAAAGGATAGAACATAGTAAATCAAATAAATATAGGCTACTGAACATTTCTGTTCCCTGTTATGTACTTTAAGCCGGCCACAGCTTTTATACGTATGATAAAAGTGCTATCCAAAAAGCTCTGTCTTTTGCCGGCCACTACTGTTTCTTCAGCATTACTCAGGCTAGCCAGATAAGGGCCATATAGAGCCTATGTGTAAATGCTTCAAGGTTACTTTTAAGAACAAGGCAGCGCTAGGAAGCGCTACCTGATAGGCCGTTTCTTAACAAGATGACTGTCTCGCCGTGTCCATTTTCTGTTTGAACAGAATTCTAATACAACTTTCCCACCTAACTTCTCTGTTAGGCTCGAGTCTGTTCACTCGCGACTTGACGACAGCTCCCGCTGAGCTGTCGGGCGTAGCGTTTTATGTTCGAGTCAGTCTACCATCAACTGCACGATTTCGCCCCCCCCACCCCGTGATTTCGACCGGATCGAAAGCCTTCACGAAGTCTGTATAAGTTTCTGTATAAAAAGTAAAAGTGAAGACGTCAACGTCTCAATCGTCAAACTGCCAGCACGCGCTACCGTTTTACGAGTTACGAACGGTGTCAGGTCAATCCACTAACGCTCGCTATCCTCCACCACTGACAGAGCTGTCAACAAACCAATGGGGTTGAGCGAATTCAGACGAAGCCTTTGGCGAAACAAGATCAACAGACAACGTAAAGCTGTGCGTCGACTTGCCGTGAATGGCGGAATTCCCCCTAAA